AAAGACAATGAATGGTTCCGATTCTACAATAGAAGATGGATTTATGTAAACTTTCTATAGGATGAATACCACATTACCTATCAATTGACATTGAATTGGCAAAATGTCAATTCAAAGAAATATATCATTGGAAATAGATTGAGCGCTAAAATTATAGATAAAATAAGTGTACTGAAATAAATGAAATTAATACTGAGAATAATATGGACTTTCGAATATCCGACATTTAAAAAATTTTCCAAATACTTCAGTCTCAAACTTCACTACATATCCTCTTCAGTTCTCTTCGTCGTATCTAGTAATACGTAGGCTTGACCTCATATAGGGAAAAAGAGGTTTTGTTTAGTGGAATTGATAAATGGCTTCTTAGGTAATATTTCTAACTGAATTTTTAAGAGTAGGCCAAGTGTTGTACTCTGTTTCCGAGTGCACTTTGCACTAGATAAGTATTTGCGCTATAGTTTAACTTCTAAATCAGTTATTAATATGTCTTTGGATCTATTCTGCGTAATAGCAAGGCTAAATTTATAAGGAATTCCTTTCCAGTGTCCAAACAATTTTGTTCTCAGATAAATATATATATTTTTAATTTATTCTTAGGAAAGTCCCAACTAAACCCACATCCTTAAACACATGGTAGAGTCTAGTGGGTGACATCCGACTGTGAGTAAATGCCTGTTTTTGACAGATTCCATTTATGGTCGTTAAACGTATGTACCTCTCCAACAACCCCACCACCCCTGCTTTACACTTGAATGCACATCCACACAGGAAAAATGGGGGTAGGTATGGAGTATAGCAATTTCTGTGAGTATTTCACCTTGAGGTGGAGCTTATTTACACAGAAAGAAAATCGTAGTAAAATAAGAAGAAAATGTTTAAAGATGGTCAGAGTATCTCTTCTTTTACTCATAAAATAAAAATGTTTCCAATTAAATAACGTCATCTGTAGCGGTGCACTCGTAATTAAACCCGTACAAACGTTTGTGAATCTCTGATATCTCTGCATTAAAAAAGTACTGGACACACAAACGATTTCCGCAACTGCAAATTCCTAATATTCATTTCCTTTAAAAATAAATTTGAAAATTTCAAATTTTCTTTGGTACTATTTTCAATATTTCCCACACAATTTAGGAAAATACTTAATGTCATTAGGAATTCTCAAGCATGAAACTGGTTAACCACACAACAACAACATACATACATTTCAAACAAAAATCAACTATTTTCTGACTGACGCCAATTTCATTTATGCGTAACGGAAGCCAGAACTTGCATTTGCCTCGGCACCCACCCTCCGCCTCATCATCGTCCTTCTGCCTGTCATCGACAATTGTTTAAACAGAATTATTGTTATTTTATTAGAAGCAAAACACAAATTAGCTACGTCAACTTCAGGGTGTCTGAATGAACTTGGCTGGTTCCGCCTACCGGACCTCCCCTCTGTTGCGACTGACTTTCAGCGTGTGCTGCATGCCATGGGCGCAAGAGCTAGTGGGTACTTACAATTGGCGAACATCGAAGCGATCAAACAAGTTGCCGAGTGTCTATCGGAGGACGAGCGTGTGCTCGGCACACGTTCCCAAGATTGCATTTGCCGGTGATGAACACAAACAAATTTCCCGAGGCGAGAAAAACCGCTGTAGTCAAACAATAGAACAATATGTCACCGAGCAATGAAACGGAAACAAACCTTTTCATTACCAGCAAATTGCCCTGTAACACTCCGTGGCAAGCGTCTGTGGACGCAACCACTCATTGTCGAACAAATAATAGCAATAAAAACACGATGACAGTAATCGCATTTGATGTAGATGTATCTCTGAGATTGAGCGGCGATCACAACAACAACAACAACCCCTTGTGTATGGTGTGCGAGCGGGATGGGCAAACCGAACGAAGCCGATTCCGATGAGAGGAACAAGAGTAATTGCCGCAAGGACATATTCAAGTGCGTACACAATCCCCTTTACGAGAGCCATGTAAACACGATTGTTAATCGGGATTGAACAATTCTCAGGAACTGAACAGGAACACAAGACCACAATTAAATTATCGCATTTCAACGAAGCCAACAAACATGGGGTTAAATGACGTTGTTTGTTATTGTTGTGGTACTGCATGCGTGCGCCAAGTCTATGAAGGAATTAAGCCATTGCTGGTGGTTTTAGGCCAAGGTGTGACTGTTGAAGGATTTGCACCAAACCAAGTGTGTGGGAAACAAAAATATTGAAGGACACCATATCATGCCGACATCAAAATGTAATTTAATTTTTAGAATTCAATTTTATTATTTGTCACTGCGCCTGTCTACGTAACGTAAGCATCATTTTAATTTTTGTAGTATTAATTCGAAATAAATTCGTAATGCATCCAATGAAATTAAGTCATTTAATTTTTATACATTGACATACATATATTTTTCCCACAACATCTTATTTTTCTGCAGCATACTTTTTGTATTAAGCCGACCTCCCTCATTCTGGATTTGAAATTTCGGAGATTTTCAAACGGCGCACATAGCTGAAATGTATAGTAAAGGTTAATTATAACTCGTAAAAGTCGCAGTAATTATCCGATTGATATAAAAATGGGCCAACATCTTCTTAAATTATTTTTTTTTTATTTTTGATTTGCTCGCATTTCTCAAATTTTAAATATGAGAAACATATGATATTTTCCATATTGGCGCAAGCTTATACCAAATTTTATGATTTACCTTGACACATTAGAGTTCAATGAATATATAGGGGGAAATTAGAGCTGCCGAGAGATGCCAGCGGATTTTTTTACGCCTAAAAAAATAATATTCCACATTACAAGTACCTTGTGAGAAAAATTTGATAATTTCTTGCAGACGCAAATATGCAAAATTTTTATTGAATCTAATGCTCTAGAGTTTGGTGCAGAAAACAATAGAAATAACTACTATTGGCAATCGCTACAAAGAAGATGTACCACAACAATTAAATTGTGAAAAATCATTTGGTAAGCTGGTGTTCCTCAGGAAATATAACGAAAAATTTTTTAATAAATATAAGTTTTCGTTAAAAATATATGACTTTCCTGTTTACCTAATTTTATAGTTCCAAACATGTACTGTTTCACTTTCAATATCGGTGCCAGATATTTTGGGATGGTTGTAGCTAACGGGGAAAAGTGTTAAGTTACTGATAACTCAAAGAAATTAAATAAAACGCGATTTTAATTTTAATGTTAGATAAAGAGAATTAAGGAAAAATGGGCGGGCAACGCCCCCAGCATGTTGGGTATTTTGGTAATGTTGGCTGAAATTTGGTGTTATGGGTTCTCAGTGTATAGAAATTCTCCCTACCAAAAATTATGAATATTGGACTTGTTCTTCGGTTAGCCCCCATATAACGGTATATCCCATTATTCGGAATTTTTGAGATTTCTTTTAACAAATAGGCTGTCTTTATGTATTTTAGGTTCTAATTGGGTAGCAAATCTTCCTACCAAAAACTATCTATATTGGACAACATGTTAAAATAGTTCCCATATAACGGTACCTCCGAAATTTCGGTATTAAGGGGAATTTGGGTACGTTTTTTAACCATGTTCGATATAATTTTATATTTCGGATTCCCATTTCTTGGAATGACTGATGTCACAAATAGGGACGGATCGAAACTATCCGAAGTATTTAAAAAAAAATATTTGTTAAACAAAGCTATGGCTGGTTGAACGATCAAACCCGTAGTTCAAAACTAGGACCTATTCTTCAGCATCCATTGTACACAATATTTCATTTCTAAATTTTTTCTCACTTCTGTTGTATACCAATATATTCCTCTATATTTTATCAGTAATATTGCCGGAGACACTACATACCTAAAATTCAAGGATTTTAAGAAATGACAAATCCAAAATTATCAAAATTCTTGATAAGGGGGAATATCTCCCCCCTTTTTAGGTTTCCTCCCGACGTAAAGTTACTGTAAACAATGTGTTACAGGAACTATTTATATATGATTGTTTGTAGAAAACTCTAGTTTTATGTCATGCTAATATTGTCTGCTAATAAACTAACTGCTAAACTAAACTAACTGCTAATAAACGATTTATTAATATATATGTAACTAAAATGAAATATCAGTAATATTGCCGAAGATGCAAGGATTTCATGAAATCACAATTCAAAAATTATCAAAATTCTTGAAATGAGGGGGCAATATTCCCTCATTTCAAGAATTTAGGTTACCTCCCGACGTAAACATTCAAAACGCTGATACACACACGTGCCTTCCTTTTAAAGTCCCTCTTTCATAATCAGTTGGAATTTCCCGGTAATTATTTTTTGTGTTGCATTGTATAATTATACCAGTATAAAACCTATTGGAATTGGGCAAGCATGGCTGATTGAGAAGAATTCAGTGTGTCATGTTAGTTTCAAATCGGTTCATATTTAGATATAGCTCCCATATATATTTATCCGATTACAGAATTGTGCCTAGGATTTCGTGTACGAATGATTGGTTCAGATTTAGATATAGCTTTTTGTGTCAATATGTGTCGATATATTGCAACATTATTTCTCTACATCACTGGAATATGTATGCAAAGCTAACTAATGGGTTGATTTTTTTCTTAAATACATTTTACGATGTTGTGAAATTATTAAACTTTCTTTTCTTATTCATTGTCATCATACAAATAATTACTGTGTATTAAATGCTCTACTTCAGAAACTCCGCCCACTTTGGTCGCCATCGACGAATGCAATGATAGAAGGCTGGACAGCAAGGGCAATCACAGCCTTCGCAATATTTAGGGGTTGCAAAACTCGCTGCCATGATTTCAATTTGTATGTCTGCGAATGATGTTCCGCTATTCTTGTTGGAACATTATCCTGCCTGCTATAAAAGGCTGCTGTATTCCCAGGAGATGCTGTTATTTCACTACTGGTCTTATTAGAGTGAGGTTGATATTTAATTGGATTTTGAAAATAAAATAAAATTGAAAAAATAAATCCTGCTATGTCGCGCAATCAATTACCGGATTCATCTTCTTCGCCACCTATTAGGTTGGTAATTTTTAAACCAAAATGGACTTACAACAACTAAATAAAGTTATTAAACTATCGGAAGTTTCGAATAAAATACCCAATTGAAAGTGAATTGAATAAAAGATAAAGTGATAAATTAATTACTAACCTGAAGTCGAGTGTTTATTAAAAATAAATTCTGTCTGAAAAATGTTTTCATTTGTGTTATTGATTTTCGAAATGGAAATTTCCATGTATGTGTACGGGTTTAAACTGCCATTTTGTTTGTATCTTCTCCAAGAAAACATCAGCCACCTACGGTCCCTATAGGAATATATAATAATCTTCATTTATTTAAGAACATAAAATTTTGCACAGAGTGCGTTTTGTTCAGGTCACATTTCGATCCAAGTTTTTGGTGTAGAACCCATATGCACCTCTTGATTTTTTTATTAAACGTATATGTTTATATCAATATGGATGGTATAGGAAGTTCGGTGTGAAATATATTGTTTCATTTTCAAAAATGAATTTTGTCAGTGCATATATTTTTAATACAAGTGTAATTGAGATTGTCACTAAATGTTTTAATATTTTTAATAGGTTTTAATATTTGTATGAACCACTCAACGACATATTCGGATTTAATATACATTTTTAATTGGGGATACCATTTGTGGTTGGTCTTTATTCAAAATAGAGGGTACATACACTTTGCTACGACAAAAATGTGTTTCATCCAAATACGATCCCATGTTTGTTTGGACCAAATCCGTTTCAGACAAATTCGAGTCAATTTACAAATGTCCGTCTACCTGTGTGTCTGGCTGGCTGGTGCACACATAAATCTCGAAGGGAATTTCAATCAAATTTGCACATCGTAATATTTCTTCCAAACTTAAATCTAGTTTGAAGAGGTTCGCTCCGTACCTCCCCCACAAAATGGTCAAAATGTAGCTGAAAATAACTTTCTGATTTGAACCAAACTTTGCACAACTTAATATCCAATCCATACTTTGCACATCGTACAATTTTTACCAATACTAGATCAAGTCCGATTATAGGACCCGTCGCCCCATTACTTCATGTACCTCGCCCCTAAAGGTTAGCCGAAGGGTTGCCCGATTTGATACAAACTGTGCACATCGTTTTATTTCTTTCAAAATCAAATCAAGTTCAAAGCTGAGGAATTTTGGTCCACTCCTTCTGGTACCTCCCCAACAAAATGGTCAAATTTTTGCTGAAAACTAATTTTGTAATGTCATGCAAATGGACTATTCGGTTTGAATCAAACTTTACACAACCGAATATTTTAAGCAACCCTCAATAATGTTGGAGGGTGGGATTGATCGGCCCACTCCTTCTAGTACCTCCCCCATAAAGAATTAAAATTTTGACAATTCGTTAATCACTTATGTAGCAAACGCTATATCTACATTTTATCCAAACGTTGCACAATATTGTTAACAAGCCAAGATAAGACTTATCGGTCAACTCTTTGTGGCATTGGGGTAAGGCGGGGAAGATTGGATTTCGCCACTGATCCTCACCTTTCGGATTTCTCCACTGATCCTCACCATTTACCTTACTTTTTTGATGGGTATTTTCTTCCCAGAAGTTATTTATAGCTTCTTTCCAAAAAACAGATTATATCCAAATATCCATTACATAAATTTGAAGTATTTATGTTACCAACGAATCCACCTCCTTCGTTGTGGAAAAATATATACCGTCAACCTTATGGCTAACGATATTCTACTGGTTCCGAATTCGTTTAAATGTACAAAATCTAGTTCGTGTCAAAAGATGGGACCCATAGTTTATTTTAAAATCTTATATGAAGCGAATTGGAGTATCAGAGTAAACTTGCTGACCAAAAAAAGTTATTTTTTTGTATTTTAGTCACATATCTTTCCATAATTTTGATGATGATATGATAAGCGACTTACCATCCTGTGTGTATGCAGGTGCGAATGTTGGAACCGGAAATGGAAATTTGCGAATGAATTCAAATAATTTTAGGCAAATGCAACAGCAGTACATGCAGCAACAACAAAGTAATGGCAAGTAAAGAAAACATGCCTAAATGAATAAGAATCTATATTTACATTGGACCGCTTCATATTTGCAGAAAACATTTTAGACTCATCGAGCAACAACATCGGATTAAATTCAAATAACACTACATCACTGATCTGCGGCAGTAGTCCAAATCATAACAATACCAATTCATATAATGCGACATCGTATAAAATTCAGAGACAGCAGGCCAATGTGCGAGAAAGGAAGCGAATCCAGAGGTCGGCACCAACTGGGTACAACAATATATGGTCTTTATATGAATATTTAGAAATATTTTTTTCCATATGACATATCTTAAAAAATATCTAGTGTAATATTTCATGATTCTAACCAGTTTTGTTTTGTTTCTATGTGATTCTAACCTTGCAGTAGTATAAATTCAGCCTTTGATGAATTAAGGGTCCATGTGCCCACATTCCCCTATGAGAAACGCTTAAGTAAAATCGATACTTTGCGTTTGGCCATTGCTTATATTTCGTTGCTGCGAGAAGTTTTACAATCTGACTACGACCCATTGACATATGTGGAGAAATGTTTGAGAGGTGAAATCAAAGCCGACAAAGCCAATTGGAACACCAGTGGTAAAAATTCTATTTCCAGAATGTAAACATGATTATAGAACTTTGATATGATTTTATTGCAGATTTAACAGCCCGTTTGTCATGGATAAACTGGGAGAATCTGGGAGTACATCCAGGAAGAAGAACTTTATTGACATCATTGGCTCTTTCATCAGAGCCCATGTGTGGAGCTCACTGCGGCCCACCATAAAAACCGCTTGTCATTGATGAGACCAGTTTTTTACCCAGTTTCTAGTCTTCCAACAGAACACAAAATGAGTGGACATAGTGAATATAGTTAGGTTTTTCTGTTTTTGTTTTTATTAGTTATATAATTATTATCTCTGTTACGCATTGCGGCATAAATTACAATGAAGCAATGAAAATTAAATTATTTGGATTTTTGGTCTTATTTTATTTAAGCTACAAAATATTGTTAGGAAAAAGCTATGAAAACAATAAAACAAACAAAATCGAATGAAACGTAACAACAAAGCAGCAATAGAAAACTGATCTAGTCTTCTCATATGTGTAAAAAGCTTAACTTATTGTGGAACTTAAATAGCATAAATATATAACAACTAGTATTGTACTTTGAGTCATTTTTACAGTATCCGAGCCTTGTAGTATTTTGTTGGTTTGTGGGGATCTGTTTGTCTTTGTTCGCTACGTAAAATAATCTAATCAATTATTTTTTAGTGATATTTTACTTTTTCCCTGTCAAACTGCGCTGTGAGCGAGCATAACATGATTTCTTCAGGCATACATATACAGTATGTACGCCAGTTTATTTAATTTTTGGTTTATAACTAAATCGACTCATGAAGGTTTTTGGGATAAATGAATACTTCTCTGGCATTTTTGTGTACCTATTTACGGTACGGTTAGTTAAAATTACTACTTTTGCACGATTTAACTGCAAATTTCAAATACTACTAATAGTGCATTTAAATAGCACCATGACGGGGGAAACGTATTTTTACTTTTGCGATGGACACTTTGTAATCGGAATCGCATGTGATGTTGTCTTTTGTCATTTTAAATGTGTCGATTATTGCGCACCTATTTGGCAGCTTATTTGAATTATAATAGTCATGGTTACGATGTGATAATGAAGTCTTTTAGGTGTTGTTGCGTCCAACGCATATTTTTCGTAAACTTTCCAATTCGCTACGCTTCAAGCGCAATTCGAATACCTTTTGCATAAATGTGTGACAGTCGGTAACAATTTCGTCATGGATTAAAACTTCGCGGAAGAAATTTGCCAATGCGCCTATATCATCTGCTGCTAAAATAGCCGATTTGTGCGTTTTGAACATCGTCAGCGCCACACGGAAAACAATCTGTAAAATTAAGAAACGAATACTTTGCTTTTATCACATAAAATCGTACTTCAGTTGCCACTAACCTTATAGCCTTCAGAAAATACACAGTCCCAAATCCTTAAAACAGTCTCAGCAGGGAGTACTTCGGCAAATATGCAAATAAACCATTTGCTTGCTATTACGGCATATGGCAAACCTAAAAATTGGAAAAAAATTTTATTAAGTTATATTTTATTCTTCCTCTATTTTTATTCTACTAGATTCCATCTATAGTTCAAGTGCAGCCCAGAAATACTGTTCATTTTACCTAGGTTTTCAATGTGTTTATTGACAGCAGGAACTCGACGTATAACCATCTCCTTAAAAACTGCCATGTCTCGCAAAAGATTAGCCATATTCTTGGTATGATATTGTGGTACTATATTTTCCACCATGTGTTTGAGCAACCAAAATGACTTCTCCTCATCTTCGGTGACAATAAGCAGCAAGCCAGCTATATAATTTAAGCCCTGGCAGTAACCCACATCACGATTGTGGTGAGCATAGGCAATTAGAATATTGTATAAACTATCTTTTTTCGTTTCAAAGAAGATATTGTCGGGAAAAGTTCGAGGTAGATCAATTGATATGGAGTCACTAATTTCCTTTTCATGTGGAGCATTTAACAAACTGCGGTAGAGATCAGGCGAATTTGCTTGCAGCTTATAAGCACCAGATATTCGCATCCATACATCGGGACGAAATGGACCTACGGAAAATAATATTTATTATCAATATGCACATTAGACTTAGTCAATGTAGTTACCGGGAATTCCTTTCCTTATGTAGCGCTTAATTTTTGAATTTATATTACTGAGATCAACATTTTCCTCTAATATTTCCTCCCACCGTTTACGCCGCTTAGCCAGCGTTTTTAGATAGTTTGACATAAACTGCTCATACGCCTTATAATCGAAATTCTCTGGGCGTTTGAAGCCATATTCATCCACATCGCTGTAATACAAAATAAGCATTTGTGATCAGCGCATAAAGTCCGGAAATTTTACAACAACTAAGAAAGCTACTAGGTAATGTACCGTATTAGAATACGACCACTCGTGTGGGTATTACTAAACCGCTAAGAATAAATACATACAATACCACGAACTATGTACGTTTAAGATATGAACACATACGCACGTTCGCGTTGCTAGAATATTAATCAATTTTCGAACATAAAGTATGACAAATTTTGGATTGCAGTAACAACCAACCTGTAAACTCACCTGAACTTCGATGATACCTGTGTGGTTGCAACGGCCATTTCGTTTAGTGACAATTTCAAAAAACAGTTAATCTATTCCCACTTTGATAAACGAAATTTCTTAGATAACAATAAGACGTATATAGCTTCTCAGGATGGGCGGCAGGCAATAGACTTAAAATGCAAACATTATTACTAGTACTGGAAGCAAAATGTAACAGGCGGTATCACGTCTAAAAACTGATCTGAAACAAAAGTAATAAAAAGTCGTATTCCTTCTATAGACTTAGTCCGCACGTACAACTTACATTGACTTCATATGTTTGCTTCCAATTAAGGTTTGCAAGAACTTTTTTGTGGGAGTATTTGGTACTCTTCGAGCGCGTTGGATTTAAGGTGGGTTGATATCGATTTCTTCTTCGTATACTTACGTGCCAATCTTTACATTAACATTTTCGCTTGTTCATTCTGGCTATGTACTTTTGAGTCCGCAACAAATTACTGATACCCAATGGATTTCGAAATATTGGCATGTTCCAAATACACCGAGTTTAGCTGTTCAAGTTAAATAAAATTTTCTCATTTTCCATCGCTAAATGTTCTCCAGCCATTTGACATTTGATGTTGTCATACTATTTCCAGAGTCAGAGGTGGCGTAAACCGTCTGCTTATTGACGCCGTTTACAATTATACGAACAGCTGATTACAAATATTTAACATAAGTTGTGTTCCGGAACCGGCAGTACCTGCAGTATCATAATCAATGGTTAGCTTCCAGTTCGTCTTCGGAGGGCTAACAAGGACACAATTTAAAAAAACATAAAATGGTGATTTGTTAAGCCTTCGCTTAACTAACACGTGTTTCAATAATCAAATTAGACGAAATTCTTCGTATACGAAATAACCTATCAAGTCTTACAGCCTGTTTTTATAAAATTCTAAACGAACGAATTCGAGTGACTGACGACCAAACTCCTTGGTTTTGAAAAATATGTCATTTATTTTTGTTTTGAATCAAGAAACATTTTTTTACATAAATAAAGGTTTGGTAGTAATTCGTTCGAATTGTTTCGTTTCGAATTTTACAAAAACATGCTGTTAGTGGGCCTACACAAAATATCAACTTATTGAAGCTGAACTAGATTTTTTACATTAAAGAACCAAAAAAAAAGGTTACAAATTTTTAGCCTTGACTACGCATGATGCATAGTATTATACCTTCTATACTAAATAGTAAGTAGACTAGTTAGGGGAGGAGTAAAGCGGAAAAAATGTTTAGCATTCTTTGAGTTAAAAGTATTTTCAATTTTCTTACGCTTTTCATTTACTAAACATAATAATGGTAAATTCCATGGCATATATGAGGCATAGTATTCAAAACAGTACACGTAAACAGTAGAGACAGATTTTTTCAGTCGGTAACTATGCCCGACCTTGAAGTAACGTTATTTCTTACGCAAAAAAACACCGATATTTTGTATATATGAATAACTACACTTTAGTTTCGTATATAAAGGCCGGCTTGTACGTTGTTTACACATACCGGCGTCAAGGTCTCACCGACTCTGTTGTTTTCTCCATTAATTTTGACAGAAAGCGGCAGCATTTCTTATTCCATTATGCAATTGTGAGTAAAGATAAACTATAATTCAATTTTTATCATTTGACTTTTGTTATTATTGTTGTTTTATAATTTCCCTTTGTCTAGATATTTATAGACTTTTGGCCGGCATCGGATTTGATATTTGTGATCGTCACGTTAGAAAATGTTCCGCAAATTGACAGTAGTACCAACAATTTTCGCTGCTGTGGCTGTTCAGCAAGCTTCCGAACCAGCCAAGCAGCAGGAGGAGAAACCCCATTACAACTGTAAGCCTAGCGAGCTGCCTTTGTACGCTCCTCTGCATTCCTTTGATGCGTAAGTCCATCCTGTTTTTTATGTGAAGTAGGAGAAGTAAAAAAGCATAACTATTTACAGGCCCAAGAGAAAACCACATCCACCAAAGGATTCGGAGCTTCGTAGTGCCATTGAGAGTGGTGTTTGTGCTGTCCGTACTGAAATTCAAGCTGGCTATAAAGCCTTAGAAAAACAAACGGACACTGTAAACGATTACATTAATACAGCAAAGGAACACACACAGTCCACCATCGATTACTTGAACCAACCACATAATGTTATGCCACGTACTGGAGCCATAGCTATGGGCGGCTTATCCGGTTTCATTTTTGCTGCTAGAGGTGGCTTTATTAAGAAGGTAGTATATACCACCGTTGGTGCTGGAGCAATTGCTTCTTTGTGTTATCCTCGCCAAGCTGAGCAATTCGCAAAGGACGCTCTCTTCGAAGCTCGCAAGGGCTATGCTATTGCCTACAATTTCGTAAAGGGTGTTAAGCCGGGCGAGGAAGTGCCAGTAGAGCCCATTAGCAAATTCCCTACCACTTTGGAAGATGTGAAGTTTATGGTATTCGATTTATACGACGAAGCCAAAGAGGCTTTATTCCCTAAAAACAAATAGTTCATCTACCATCACTCCTGCCGAGAACGATATTTGTGATTGATTCGTCAATCGAATACGTAAATTGTGTGTGCGTATGCAAAAACGAAACGTAAAATTACATAGTCAAAAAAAGATAAATGAAACGAGAATAAAATTCCAAAATTGTAAAGATACCTCAACATTGAATATCCTGCAAATGTTTTTTCTTTATTTCGAGCATACAAATTGAATCAGCGTCGGTATGTTTTTAAAATATTCAATAAACCCCTTTGATGATGACAGTGGCATATAATCATAACCATCGTTCCAACCACATACCCACATTTTATATCAACTGGAACATTTCGAAATTTCTATGGAAACTTCAAAAAAACATAGGCATATATATTTACATAGGTAAGAATAGCACTTTGTTTATTCCATTCTAACTTCACTTAAGACTTGATATTTATATTTTATTTCAAATGTTGAACTGCAACACGATCAGTTTATATTTTGTTATATACTCACGGGAAACCCGAATGTCCATTTCAGCAAATAAAGGCTAAAACATGGTGTTAAACACGAAAAATATAAATCTATTGAATAGTTTTTTTTTAAATATGTTTTTAACCACTGAGGTCCATAAATTACAGAGTATATATTTGCCATATAAAAATTGGAACTAAATATATTTTTCTTATTTATATTATTGACCAATTTTTAATTCTATTATTGATATTTTTGTTGGGTTGTTTTGGTCAGATTAGATGAAAATAAAAGGAGTTTTATTTCATATTTTGCTCGGCGTTTCGTTGGTTTTTTCCAAATTTTTTAAGAGCTGTTTTTATTGATTTTAATTATTTTCCATTTTGTTTATTATTTGCTTAAATTAAAAAGCGAGGCTCCGCAACATTAATATAATAAACATTTTTAGGATATTGCAACTGAAAACTGAAGCTTAGTATTATCTTTTTTAATAAATAAATATTTTAAATTTTCAAAATAGATTTTTGCAAATAGGTTTTTTTATATTTTCGGATTAGAACATGGGGGTCGAATTACATTAAATCAGATGTTACCGTCAAATATTAGTTGTAACTAAACATGGACCGATATTGTGAACTCCAGTTGAAATATTTTCATATAAACTATGGATAGCTACCATGGTAGTAGTTTCTGATAAAATCAGCAAGTCTTGTCAGTTTGGGGTAGTGTAGTAATTCATAAGAATATCATACATCAATGTTAATTCAATATACATATGTATGTGTTTGTACATTTACATACAAATCATCTTTTCGTTATGATTTTTTTTTATTAATTTTTGTAAAGTTCAATGATTAATGATCGAATCAAGTCAAATGTCACAATAAATTCCATTTCAAAAATTACTTTCGATAGACCATACCACTCTGTCTGACAAGTTATGAGAAAGTGAAATTTTCAACTGAGCGAACCACGGCACAGCAATGTCGACTAATAGATTGAATTGAATAGATTAGCACAATAAGGAACAAGTTTAACTATACACAAGCTATCTTTATTGTGTGCAAAACATTAATTGCTAAGGTGATTCTGACTTCTTAGTTCCCATTTTGGTTTTTTATTTCTGTCTGTGTTGTAGAAATTTAATTGTTTGATGTTAGTAGCCTAGGGTCAAATGGGAAATGAGTAATAAACTGAATGGCTTAATGAACGATATTTCTATCATTGTATAAAGAAGTGGACCTAATTGTCGTTATAAATTATTTATACACCACCTTTAAGATGAAGATCGAGCAAAACAAATATTAAAATATATTAGTTTTTGATTTCTTTTTAATTTAGGATTTGTGGTCAGTCAGTGTTCCTAATGATTGTAAAGAATGTTTATATGAACATTCTACCAATTAAAATTATTACATATAAAATACCAGCGGACACGGCAACCTTGTATAGGCCTTGCGTACAAGGTAGAATAACTCGAGATGAGTAACAAAAAATCAACTCTGTAGGTAGTGGCTTCTTCTATCACATATAAAATAAATATACGCAAAGGTTATTTGTATTCTTCCTTAGATCATGTAAAAGGGGGGTACACAGACAGACTTATTATAAGCAAATAACAATTTTTCAATAATTGTTGGCAATTTATTTGTAAAATAATGAAATATAATTGTACTACCCAAAGTTTATTCATGTATGTGTGACACACAAGAATATTAAAATCAAGGCCTATATAAGGTCGGCAAGTAAGCACAGGTGATTATAAAGTTTGCTGTCAAATCATATTTTGAAACCTATACATATATACACAATTATGTTAGACGTCAAAACGAAAATATTAATACTTTGTCAACATTCAATTAAATTTCAATTTATATCGTTTTTGTGAAGCACATTTGGACCAAGGCCTATATAAGGTCGTCCAGTAAGCGAATTCATCGAAAAAACTTTAGTTTAACGTCAACTTTTTTGCCGAGGCGAAAACTAATTGTTTCGCCTTTAAATAAAAAACACAGCCAAAACACAACACAATTTATAATTTGTACGATAATTTAATTGAAAATCTTCTTTAAACTCTTGAAATAGTCCAAATGTGCTTTACGAAGGCGATATAAATTGTATGTTGACAAAATATTAATATTTTCCTTTTGACGTCTAACATAATTTTGTATGTATAGGTTTCAAAATATGATTTGACAACAAACTTTATACTAACTTGTGCTTACTGGCCGACCTTAAGGGCCCCATACACTATACATCCGTACCCCATGCCGTACAGCATTTATAATTGTATTTTTTGAAAGTTTATGTGTGACACACACAATGCATGAAGAAAATCAAAATAGTTGTGTACAAGATTGTACGCTTTAAAAAAAGCGTACAATTTTGTACACGAATATTCTGTTTGGAATAAAAATATTTTTTGTTTATTTATTCTACAAAAAATAAATTTGACAGCCAATGAAGACTTTGAATAAACCTTGGTACCACCCATTAAAATAATTCGGGCGCACACAGCAAAAAGTTAAAATACTCATGGTTGGCAATCATTCGTTCTATGTGGGTTTTTTCTCATTTTTGCAGTACATACATTGTTAAAATTAACACAAATTGTTTGTAGCCTATAATATAAAATTTTCTTTTTAGTAACCTATAATATAAAATTTTCTTACAAAACAACGTCAGTAGCTAAAAGAAATTCACTCTTTAATTTTCTTTGGGCAAGACAGTATTTATTTTTTTAATTTCATATTTTTTCTATAATTTATTGTTAATATTTATATTTGCAATGACTTTTTCTATGATAAATATTTACAATATGATTTTAGGCATAATTTAGTCAACATACATGCACTCACTCGGCTGCAACACCTAAACATGCAAACTAAACATATTTGATAATGGTTACTAATGAGTGTGTGGTTGTAATTTAGGCTAGCTACAACTTATACAATAATAAAAAATCACACATTAGATAATAAATTAAAGTACACTAAACTGTTACGAAGTTGGGTTAAAAGTATATCTCAAAGAGGTTTCCATACAACTACAAAAACAAATAATTAACAAATTTATTAAACATTAAATATATACATTGGTGCATCGGGCGCTTAGAGCCCGAAATCGTAGAACGGGAATGGCGCAAACACATTGTCCGCCTGCCCGTTGGCCAATCACGTCACATTCTCCATAATCCAAGGAACAAATTTCGAAATTCTGGTGCAGACACCGGGCAAGTTAGCTTCGGCACAGCCAATACCCCACGATATGATGCCGGCTAAGAAGTAATGACCATTTTGTGATTTGACCTAGAGCAACAAAAGAGAAGACCAAAATGAGATATGCATTTCGGAGACTCGTGTTTGTAAAAACTAACCTGTAAAGGACCACCAGAATCACCTTGGCAGGAGTCTTGGCCTCCATTCTCATAACCTGCACACAAGAAAATTTCCGGTATGAATTCCTGGCGACCAGCCCTCAAGAACATACTCTTGCAATTGTCATTGCTAACAATCGGCACTGAAACCTAAAGTTATAAACAAAAATACCATTGTAAATAAAAACAATAAAATACAGAGAACGGAATATTGTATGGCGCCCTGACTTCCACCTGACCATTTTGTTTGCGGTAATACTTAATTGGTTAGATGTGTAAATGGTTGATATTCCACAATATTAATTGCAGCAAAATAAAAATTGTTCAGTGTAATAAATCAATGCATTATTTGGTAAAAAAAAAACACAAACATTCGATGTGTATCTCTTGGTTTTCAAACGACCATTAAATATACAATTGTTGTTTTTTATGAGAAAGATTGTAAATAGTGGTTGGTAATGCTACAAATTAAAGCTTTATTTCAAATAAGTATATATACCTCTTGCAGAACTGATGGCAAAGTACCACCCTCGCTTAAACGTCCCCAGCCCGTCACTGTGGCATTCATACCGATTAACAGGCTATCTGTTTCCGGCAAACATATGGGACTAACATGTGGGGCGAATTCTAATGGCTGTTCCATTTTCACCAAGGCCAAATCATATTCGTATGTAAAGAAGTTATACTGCGGGTGCACAATTTTCTTCGACACTCCCCTCTCAATGTAGGGCAACTGTTCCTGGACATGTGCAAAGTCATATTCACCCACCCGTATTCGTATCTGCGAGATCAAGAGGCTGAAAGAAATAAACACCACACACGCACACACTTTACTTACTAATCACTCAGAAATGACTATTAATTTTTAGATTAGATTAATTTTTTTAACTGATCATCTATTGACCGGAGAATGTACTTACTCATCGACACAATGACCGGCTGTGGCAATCCAGTTTTCATTGATTAGAGCTCCACCACAGCGGTGCGTACTTGAAAAGCCAAAGAAAGAGGTACGACGTACAGACACCTGCCAAGGCCACCGGCCAAAGGCAGCACTTTTACCGCCAACAATACGCGTTTCCGGCCGCGTTAAAACAGGAATTCCACATTCTACATTAAAAGGGGAATGGTGGTTTATTAAAAATAGGCCGCTGGGTTGAGGGACAATGACCAGTCGAACTTACCACTGCGAGCTGCCGACACGGTTTTTATGACGTCGCCACCATCAACGGAATTATCACCGATTTCGTTCGTTTCAATGGCGCTAATATTGTTGGGGGACAGTGTGTGCGGGGCTGATGACGTTGACGATGCAATGGAGCTTGTCGTTGTGTATGGCCGTGAAGATGATGTTGGTCGCTGTGTTGTTGTTTTGGTGGGTAAAACACCTGCTGTCGTTGTCGTCTCTGGCTTCTTTGTATTGACTGTCGTTGTTGTTGTGGCTGCTGACGATGAGGGCCTCGAGGATGATGTGATGATGGGCGTTGTAACCGCTGTCGTTGCTGCCGAACTAGTTGAGGTTGGTTTGGCATAGGTGAAACTAGATGCTGGTGCTGTTGTCGGTTTGCTATTTTGTCCCACAAACTGCAGCGGGAGAAATAGAAAATGCAAAAAAGATGTTCAAAATGAAATAAAGAAACTCACAGAAACATCAGTGATGATGTTATTTTGACATAATGATGTAGTCTAATGGCTCCCGCCCAACAATTGCACTGTCTGCAAATGTGTTTAGCCATGCAAAGAATACATTTTTCATTTGGTTACCCTCCGTCCAATTTGTGAGTCATTTTCTTGAATATCGCTGCCCTAACACAAGTTTCAACATTCGATAAACAGCTAGTATGTAAGTTAACGTTTTAACCCACCCACAACATGAAGAAGTAAATGTATGTATGAAATGAATCGGTCCAGATCCTATATCCCCTGATTGTATTTTGCATGGAGTTTGCAATCGGAGCAATAGTTCAATTCAAATCATGGATTAATTTCTGAGAAAGTATTTGGACTACTTAGTGAACTCTGTAAAATTAAATAGATTGAAAAAAGTGTGTATGACTGAGGTCACACAATTTGCATAACTTGTGTGCACTGACTCATAGCCGTGTGCGGCAATATAATTGTTCGGCATTAACTAACATTAAATCAAGGGCATAGGTGTATTATCTGCACTGAAAATTACCCGCCAGGCGGCAGACATGGAAATGGGAAAATGTAATGTTAACTGACTGAATAAAAAATAGTCCATGGTTCGATTTGCCTTTCCAGTACTGCACGAGAAGGGCTTTGGTCGTCTTCGGTCAAATGCCACTCCCAAGCCTAGCCAATCTTTCATCAGGTATTTTCAAACAATAAAATGTCCCTCCAGGCGGCAGATACATTATGAACAACGCGGTTAAAGGCCTGGCTTATTACAGCATCATGCGACCATGATTCGCCTTCCTTTTACTACACCATCGACCGACATACTCTACGGGCAAAAGAATTAAAAAACACACAATGTTACCTGGGGCTTTGTTTTGTTTGTCGTTGACGGTGCTGTTGACGACGGCTTTAGAGCTGTGGTAGCTATGCTTGTCGTGGTGGTTTTCCATGTGGTGGTAGATGATAATGTGGGAGCATTTGTTGTTGGCTTTCTGGTTGAATATGATCCATAGGATGGCGATGTATAGGACAATTGCGTTTGGGTAGTGTGCCAATCTGGTGGTGTGGGCATTGTGGGCTTTTTACTTGGTTTCGGAGGTTTCGGTCGAAATGTACCCGGTTTATCCCAGGCCGGAGGCCTTGGTTTGGTTATGAAATTTGGTTCCGTTGTCAGGTGCCAATGTTGTTGGTGGTTGACTAGAACACCAAAAAGGAGAAGAAGAAGATGATGATGTAAAATAAATATAGTGTTGAATACTTGAAAATACTTACTTGTTGAAGCCGATGATATACTGGCCGAGGATTGTAGATCCCCCAGTACAGCGTTCGATGTCCAGATCAATGTAGGATTGTCTGTTGTGGTGGATGTGACCGGTGCTGTGGTAGTGCTGTATGAAGGCTTTGACTGTTGCGGTTTCACAAGTGGACCCTGATGGTGGGGACCAGATGGTCTAATAACCAAAGTTCCGGCTCCATGCGGCCTCTCGATGGTAGTCATGCCACTGAAAGGAAATGTGAATTATCATAGAGTTAGAGGGATAAAATAATAGGGTTTCTTTTGTTGACGTACGTAATACTGGGCTTGTGCGGATGCTGTGGCGGCCTCGGACGATGGTTCATACTCCCCATGCCAATGGGTTTTGTGGGCCGTGTATACGAAAATGTGTTGGGCAACACTATGTTATCCGTATAATTGTGGGCACAACAAGATCCAAACATAAACGAGTCAACACACATGCCCACATGACGGCCTTCAGATTTGATACACTCCCACACAAACATACAGGTGCCCTCTATGCGCCCCACCGAGCATGGCTTCGGGCTGATCTTAAAATTCTGACTACGCAACAAGCTATCGTCCAAGTTGTGCTGCAGCTGTAGGCCATTATAACCAAATGCAGATCCGCCGATGCTGTGTGCTTGGCGATAATCCAGTTCGTCAATTTCGTCCGAATCCAGAAACGGTTGATCCCTCACGCCGTAATTCGTTTGCCCATTGTGACTTCTGAAACCGCTTTCCGGGGCGACATAACCAAATGCGGCGACTGCCGTGGGGAAGTTTGTTAGCCTACACGCTAGAAAATTGACTAATACTATAGCTAATAATACTTCTAGTATTTGGTTAAAGCGATCTCCTGATCGTTCCGACAGTCGTAGGTAACATCTCGTACTGCGTGTTGTACACCTCTGACGTCCGTTTTTACTGCGTCCCGTTACATGGACAACCTGTAGGGTGTCCACTTGGTCGGATGCTGACGCTGGTCCGGCGTTTTGACAATGGACACCTGTATGGGCTTTGACTTTACTCTCACCATCTTGATTGACTAGCCATTGTCGACTATAGCGATTGCTCCTCATCTTCTGAGTGTGTTTGTATCTGAAACGGCAAAAGACAATGAACTATTGCAACAAAGAAGAATTTCGAAAGTAGTAAATTATTTCGGCAAACTACACTGCACCTCACACATACACACACACGAGCACATTCATTGAACACGAGAGTATTGCGTGAGTCCGCACATTATTGGTTGCGTTGTTCATAGTTGTTGCCACCAACTACCGCTGCAAACAAACATCTGCAGCAATTGTGTGCTATATTTTGTCCGCAACGTGCCACTGTGGCGTCGTTTATCAGCGGCAATTTAATGACGACCGCAATCAAGTCATTTCTCGTGCAGTTGTGACTACGATTAATAAATCGCCTCTCTTCTATCCTTTCTTATTGAAGTTCGAGATTTTACTGATACACTGCAAATGTTCACCACAGTTCAGTACTTGATGCGCTTGCACTTGTTGTTGGCGAAGGCAACTGCTTTGTCCACATACAACAAATTATGTTGGTGTAGCATCTGCAACATGTAGTGGAGTTGCCATAATTGCAACTTTTCACTTTTGATTCACAGCACAGCCTACCACAAAACGGAGAATAGACTGATATTTTTTCGCCATACAATGAGCAATTCGAAATCTAATGAAATTTCATTTCTAATGTAGGGAAAATTGAATGTATATTGCTCGCCAATGCTTCCGATTTAATTCTCCCTTTCACAGTTTATGACCGTAAAATTGGGCTTTGTACATACATATATTTTGTAGATCACCAGTAAAAATTAATAAAATAAATGAACTCGGATGCCTTATATCCCTCACACATTCGTAATTCGACTGAGAACGCATTCACAATGCTTTGTGTTGGAAATGAAAGTGAAACTTTGGTTATTTCTGAAGCTATCTATTTGTACATTTTCAAGGACAGCTTTCGCTATATTTTGTTTGTTAGATATTTGCTTTTTGTTTCAAAAATAAGATCGTTCCCACCACATATGTATGTACATGGTAATTTCTCTTCCCAACCACTACCCCACCCCTAATGACTGGGTCATCGATCAATTTATCTTTAGACGCTTCGAAAAAAATTACATCCAAAAGTAATCAATCATTAAGATGTTTGTCTTTATGTTTTAATGACTCCATTTCAGGCGGCAGCAACAACAACATGATCTACAGAAAATTAAAATTATGAAAAAAACCGATGTGAGTAGCTATTTGGATGTTATAAAGAAAACAATGAATATGACCAAAATTGATTGAGGATATTGATTTGAAGTGTTTTTCTCTCCTATTATCGTCCTATTATTTCTCAAGGCTAGCCTAAATTTTTAATAAATTTAGGCAAACCCTAATATACCGAGTACATTTCCCAGTAATCGGATTTACTCGGTTAACAAAAATTAGGAAGACAGTTCGTAAAATGTATAAATTGCTATAATGGCATTCATCTTCAATTACTGTGCACAACTGTGCGTCAATTCACCCATACTCGATTTAAAATGTTGACGATTTTTAACCGGCTGGCAAATGAACACTTGAAGAAGAAAATAAGTTTACAAAATTTTGTTGTTTTGTTGTTTTTTTTTTTTTTTTTTTTTTGTAATTAAAGAAAATTCCTTGTTTTCGATGGCGGGCATGCTTGCCGATGAACGGAACATCCGAATCTCAAAACAATTAGAAAGAGTACATGTCTGGCTCTGGTATGAACTAGGATTATTGACTTTTTTGGCCACTTTTTTGACCGCAAAACAAGCTGGAAACATTGAAGATTTTCCCTGTTTCCATAATAACGTATTAAAATTTAGAATCGATTGGATATATAGTTTTTGAGTTATCGGGCTCGGAAAAACACATTAACATGTTGAGAAACGCTCGCTCTCTCTCTCTCTCTCTGCCACCTGTCGCTTATACAATAAATCACTTATATCATCAAACGTTTTTGAGATTTTCACTTGAAATTTTAATGAGACGTGAGGTTCAAAGGGAAAAAATACAATATCGTTTTTTTTTAAAGAAAAATGTGAAATTTGGTATAATAAACAAATGAATAAAATTGTAATATTTTCACTCAAATTAAACAATATATGGTTCCTAAATCTATGTTTTAAGTTTCAGACAAACACTTTATATATATATATATATATATATAAATATGTCTTCCGCTTTAGTTCTTATAGGAAATGAATCTGAACATACCTTCGAATGAATTACATGAAAAATATTCCATTTATCTTCTTTCACATTTTTGTTATAGACATAAATTGTGCAATTTTATACATTTTAAAATCAAGCAAAATACTTTTCTGTACATATAATTCAATATATCCATGCTGTAGACATTAGATGCTGGCGATTAAAAAAGAAGTGCTAGTGTGTGCGGGATTTCTGCGTACTTCTTTGGTACGGTTTTTGGCCAATATCAGTTTGTTTTAACCGACACATATAATTACAACTTAACCGCCAGCGTAATTGTTTAGTAGCGAACATTCACATCTCGAATCTGAATAGACACACCGTACTGCGTCTTGCCATTTCTCCTCTGTGCGTTATTTCCCCTTCAGTCTGCGTGGCAAACACATTTCATGTATGTCGGTCTGTTTGTATATTTGTCGATTGTGGGTTTCATCGCAACGGCGCTGAGCCAGCATGATGTATCAGTAGCAGGTTGTTCTTTTGTGTGGATTCAGATTGTTATTCTATGGCTCGGTGTTGTAATGCCCCGCTAATGACCATCATTATAAATTCTAAACGCTAAGGGCAATCAGAAGTAGCTCGTCAAAGTGGTCTTTGAAAAAAGGAAACGAAGAAATAACACGTGGACCGGGTATGAGAGGTTACACGCTACAGAATAAATACATAAGATCATCATGTATCATCACTATGTCGGTTTGCTTCGTTTTTGGATGTATAAATACCGAACTGATAAACATTTGATCTTTACCATATTTCAACTGTTTATAGCCTGACCACAAATCCATTTTCTAATTAAAATAGATTAGATGACCAAGAAATGTGGTAATGCTTAAAAATTAAGTTTTCGATAGGAATAGAGTATAAAATAGTAATTCTAATCGCCTAAACGGGAACGGTAAAGGATTTTGATTACACAAAAATTTGCTACAAGAAATATTACACCTGGCTTGTAAAATCGTATAATTAACTGTTCGTGTAATCACACATTTTAAACCGCCACTCAATTGAATTGAGCTTCACTGTTCATCTTTTCAGAAACATATCAAAGGCAACATGCATTTCACTTCCATTTATAACTTTGGATTTAAAAAAAAAAAAAAAACTCAATAAAAATATCAAAACATTTGTATGCGTTACAAGTTCACTGGAATTGTTAGGGGTGGGGTGGTGTGTGGTGTGAAGTGGCTACTTCTCGTATCCATTAACCGAAAAATGGTGTTATGTCGGAATTCACTTACGATGTGGGAACTCATGTTAACAATGTGTGTGCCAGTGCTTGTATGTGTGTGTATGCATGTATGATGATGACTGATCCAGCGATGTGATGGATATAATCAAAGTCCGCAACAGATGACCATAATGGCCGTGATCATTGCTTCCACGGTTGGATGGATGGGGGGATGTGCTTTAAGTGAGTATTTTTGTTAATAGAATGGACATTTTCTATTGATCGACCACGCGTTAATGTGTTTTGTTTTCTCTAGCTTATAAAAAACGCTTTTAGATGCGGACATTTTCCAAGTATGGAGTTGTGATTCCCCACTGCTGTTCCTTATTTGTACGATAAAGTTGATATGTGAGATATGCTTTTCCAACAAACTGGCTTTGGACTAGCGTTCGTAGTTTAGGCAGTGGCAGATTGCTATGTTGGGCAACTAATTGATTATGTTGCAAAATGCGTGGTAAATCAGCTGTAGCTTGCTATTTGGCTCTATGAAGAGGGGATCAACAACCAATTCGGATGATAACTATTATGTATGCAAATCAGTGATTATGTGCGTACACGTATCTTATCATTCAAAATATATATTTTTGACAAAGAGTTTATCGTAATTTTTCATTATTTCTTAGCGAAGAAACAATTGTTATTTACCCAGTTTGCCGATTATAGATTGATATATTTATCGCAAATTTAAAGTCATGACATTCACTTCATTTTTCGCGTTTTATTTTTATATCAAAATCTTAAAAATAAAAATATAAAAAATAATAAAAATAGTTGTAATTATATTCAAAAGTATGTTTTCAAATATCAAGTAACAAAATTATCAGGAACAACCTAAACTAACTTTGTCCATGAAAGGAGCAAATTCACTGTTCGCCACACAAATATGAATCAAGTGATTTTAAGCCAGAGAAGTATTGAGTTCCTTTGCATTAAATTGTACACTAAAAGTCCGCAAATAAAACTTTTGACGTAAACATATATATAAATATGCATGGTTAACGCATGTTTGACAATTAAAAGTAGTTTAACGTCTGCCATCAGCTGTTTTTCTGTTGTAACAGACAATGTAATATTTTTTGACCACGTCGGGAGTATGTCGTTTTTTATCTAGCCTAATAAACTTTTATTGTCAACTGATGTTCGATATTATTTTCATATAGTTGCTGAATTCAGTATTGAAGGCTGTCGTGTGTCTATTTCTGTTAATATGCCAACAATTTTGGCAGTCGTAGACAAGGCCTATATACTAGCTAGGACATCCGATGAGCACAACATAGTGATTCTATTAACTTTCCCTTTTCCATTTCAGTTTGAAAAGATTTTACTATATTAGATCAATAATAATTCTCATATTCGGTAAATAACCTTAAAACAAAAGACTTAGGACACAAGCACGCACACTCCATCTCTCC